GGAGTGAAAGGTTCTGGAGGCCGCGTAACAAAACTTAAAAACACAGTTGTCCATCTTTGTACTTAAGAAATCAACCAATCAGCATTTTTCATTTGTAGATGAACTTAAATATGTGAACAGGAAACTAGATGTTGAAGAAAGCCTCAATATACTGACTTTTGAAGATCTTCTCTGCTTCTCATATCAAGTTGCCAGAGGAATGGAGTTTCTGGAATCAAAATCAGTAAGATTGCTGTGTAAAAATAGTCCTGAATAATAAAGATTAGAAAAAGAAAATATGCTCTACTATCTAAATTCCTAGTCAGACATTCTAGCTCAATCCTGTTGAATACTAGAATTATTAATATTAGAATTTTTCTAGGAAAGAAAAATCTCACATATAAAGTATATGATATTGTTGTTTGGAGTTAGATTTTTATGTGGAGTTCTTGGTACTCTCTGAGCTTGGTTATTTGCTGCAAACATTTTGTTAGCCAACTATGCAATTTGATTTTCAAATTAAAACATGTTTTCATAGTGCTATCTGATAGGCATTTCATCCAAATTAAAATTGGGCAAAGAGGTTATGTGGGGAGAGAGAGGTTTTCCAGTAGGGAAAAAGTATTCTTGTCAGTCTGAACTGACTGGTGTTTATGATGTTTCACTTCTGTATGCTTTCTGGGCATGTAATAATAATATTCACTATCTTCTACTTTATAGCAGTGTTTCTCAACCTCAACAACTTAAAGATGTGTGGATTAATGTATTAATTTAAGATGTCCTAACATCTTAAAGTTGCTGAGGTTGAAAAATGCTCCTTTATAGAGTGCTTAAATTAGTAAATAAATGCATAAACCCTACTTCCAAGCAATAGGCATTCTATGTTTATGTATTTAAAGGATTATAACTGTTTGCTATGAACATCAGTCTCACTCCTTTCCTTGCTTAGTGGAAGGCAGAAAAATGAATCAAGTTGGTTTCTTGGGGATCCACAGTTCATATTGAAGCATAATTGCAGGATGATGTCAGTTGTTAATTGCCCTTTCTTACATCTTAAGAAGCATTTTTAAAATCACTCAAAGAAATGCCTGTATTTGCACCATCTTAGATTTTGTCCATAATGTCTTGTTTTAACCTTTTGGTCTCTGTGTTATTATATTTTTAAAGTTCTCACTTGAAAGTAAAGTGCTCTTTACTTGTGCAAAAATAATCTGTTGGGCAATTAGTTCCTGCACTTCATAAAAAAACTTACTACACCTTATTTAATAATACAGTGTGCTTTCAGTATGCATTTGGTGGAAAAAAGACACTTAAAAAAACAATCACAAAATTAAATTCTGTCCTTTATACAAGACTTTTCTCTCTTGACAGTGTGTTCACAGAGATCTAGCAGCCAGGAATATACTAGTCACTTTTGGGAAAGTGGCCAAAATATGTGACTTTGGACTTGCCAGGGATATAATGAATGATTCAAACTATGTTGTCAGAGGAAACGTAAGTTGATGTTTATTGTAGATGCTTCCCAATGTTTTCTGTGAAAGATCTGAAAATAAAAATGAAATTAATACTAATATCTTGCACAGCCAAATCCATATTCGGAAGGGTGATAATATAGCAAACTTCTTTTCCATCTTCAATTAGCCTGCTGGATAAAAATGTGGTGTATGTGCTTTCAAGTCAATTTTTTGCTGCCCAGACAAGTCCCTGCAGGTTTCTTGGCAAGGTTTCAAAAGCAATTTGCCCTTCCCTTCTTCCTAGATCTGAGAGAGACTGACTGGCCCAAGGTCACCAGTCAGCTTTCATGCATAAGGCGGGACTAGAACTCATAGTTTCCTGATTTATAGCCTGGTGCCGTAATCGTTGCACTAAATACTTATAATCACCGCACAGTTTCAGCTAAAAATGGCATTTCTATATCTCCACATCTTTAATATTTATTATTGGTGAGTGCCTGAACTAGTCCCTGTGTTTTCTTGGCAGAGAAGTAGTTTGCCATTGCCTCCTTCGTAGGGCTGAGAGTGTGTGACTAGGCTACCTTTGTGCCTATAGCAGGACAAGAACTTATGATCTCCTGTTTTCTAGCCTGATGCTTCAACCACTACACCAAAGTGGCATTACAAAAATATAGATAGCTGCTTGACTGTTAATTATCTTGTAACTGCTGTTCATCATTTCCGAGATCCTGTATCCCATAGATATCAACCAGCTATCAGTGAGAATAGGGTTGCAGATCTCCACCCTTGTCATCAACAACCATGTAGTATTCCCTGCGCATGTTATTTCATTCCCTGCAACTTGCATAAAAATTGGAGATTTCTAATATGGAAAGCACTTCCACATCAGAAAATTGTTAGGCTGTATGTATACTGCCCTATCAGTTTTACACATAGGTACAAATTTATTTTACTACAGATATGCACAGCAAGAAGGCAAAATCGTTGGGTGTGGGTTTTTGGGTTTTTTTTTACTAAAGATTATTAAGTTTAAAACCGCTTTGGTTTTGCAAAGGTTACTTCAGAGAAAAGGAAATAGTGGTTGAACTGCAACATTACATGGTTGATGGTGAAAGACGTTGGGCAGTTGCAGCTTAGAAACTTCTGACATCTACAGATTCCTGAGAAATCAGCCAAAAGTTGGTACTCAACTTTTCCAATAGTTCCATGTAGGGAATGAGAGATGATGTTGGAACATAAGGCAATTCAATTACATATATATTAAAGTGTCTTAATGGCATTTTAAATATTTTCATAGATTACAGGCCACTTCATTAGATGCATGGCATATAGTCCTAAAGGAGATTATTTATGCCCACAGCTCTTTTGGTGAGTGGGAGAAATTAGAGTTGTATAAAACCAGGGAGCGGGCACTTGGGTTAAATGAAAGCTTAAAAGCTAGAGGTGTTAGGAAATATAGGTAATCCTCAACTTACGACCACAGTTGAGCCCAAAATTTCTGTTGCTAAGGGAGACATTTGTTAAGTGAATTTTGCCCCATTTTGCCCCATTTGTTAAATGAATCATTTCAGTCATTAAGTTAGTAACATGGTTGTTAAGTGAATCTGGCTTCCCCAATGACCTTGCTTTTTCATGAAGTTGCAAAAGGGTATCACATGACCCCAGGACACTGCAATTGCCATAAATATGAGGCAGTTTGCCATGTGTCTGAATTTTGATCACATGACCATGGGAATGCCGCAATGGTCATCACAAGTGTGAAAAACAATCATAAGTCACTTTCATCAGTGCTGTTGTAACTTCGAACGGTCACAAAATAAACTGTTGTAACTTGAGGGCTACCTGTATCTCTTGAAAGCAAATAGAGTTGGATCACTTCTGCAAGGCACCACTTCACAGATTAAGGTTACTTAATTATAAAAACCTAATTCAAAATCTGAAATCCCAACCTCCAAAAGCAGTCCAACAGGAATGTAAGAGTGCCCATGTAACCCAGAGTATTTTTAACATCTGATGGATGCTGACAGGAGGGATGATTGTTCCTCAGGGGTAAGCTGTTCAATAGCAATGTGATTTTGCAGTTGATCTCCTTATATGAGAACACTTTGGTGGGGAAATGACCTCTCTCTTCTCTCTGCTTTCTATTGACCAGGCTCGTTTACCTGTCAAATGGATGTCCCCTGAAAGTTTGTTTGAAGGGATATACACAATTAAAAGTGACGTCTGGTCTTATGGAATCTTACTCTGGGAAATATTCTCTCTTGGTAGGTTCTTGAATACGTTCTCTAGTTTCCAGTCAGAGATTTAACAGAACTATGTTCCATTCAGAGATCTAAACAACCTGGAACAATGTCTTTATAATGTTGTTTCTTGCTAGTAGAGTTCCAAAATGGGGATGGGATGGGCGGCACATTTTCATTTTGTAAATTGCCCTATCTGTATAGAAGGAGTGTGTGCATGTG